CCCCCCCCCCCCTTCCTTAAAAATGCAGCGTCTGTGCGTCCCTCCCTCATATCGTCCGAGGCCTGGCTCTGAGGATGGACTGTGCACTGCTGCTGCTCTCCCTGTGGGCTCTGGCTGGAACGGTGTCTCTGCAGACTTCAGGTGAGACCCCCTGACTCTTCTCATCACTCTAATCACTCACACTGATCCCTGCATATCTGGGAATGCAGGGGGGGAGTGACCACATATTAATTCAACGTCTTTTGCCAGTGCAATTATTAACCGGTCAAACTTTTCCACCTCAAGTTCTGCTGTAGTTGAGATTGAATAATGATGATGTAAAGGTGCAGACAGGGCCTGGGACCGTGCAATTAATCAAACAGATGCACTTAATCATTAACGTTAATTAGTATGAGACTCTCTAATGCACTGTGTGTACTTTTACTCCTCGTGCACACATTGAAAAGTTCTCAGTTAAGTCAATAATGTTTGTGTTGAATTAAGAGAAAATAAAAGATTAATCTTGGGCAGTAGCATACAGTACCGATGGGTAAGTCATGTCAAGTAAGTCAGAGTATTTAAACTTGTTTTATTTTGATTCAAATCATGTCATTTTCTTACAAAATGCAAATTGTGTTTGCACAAAGTTATGGTAAATGTTTTTTATACATTGTGGTGAATACATTATGTTGTGTTGGATCATCACTGACCTTTCGCAGACCACCACAGGTGCTTCTAGAGCTCCCATATCCTTACTTCAGATTTGCAATAACATTTTAAATTTGTAATATCCCGGAAGTCTGTTCTGTACACTGTGTGTCCATGCTGTTCTGGGACGATCGTGCATGCATGAGCGCAGCACATGTGTGTTTGTGGTCACATGTGCTGTGGGCCGAGTGAATACAGTAACACACATGTTTTCATTCTCAGAGATGAAAAATGGGGGACCCAGTCGGCATCCCCCTGCCTCTCCCCCCTCAAATGTTCTGGACATTGAGGGTGTGTCGGTATTATTGTGCAATGTAGAAAATGTGGAGGCTTTGGGTTTATAATGTGTGATCGAGCACATATGGAGAAGTGAGAGAAATGAGGAGGGGCTGTAAGTACTGGAGTATCCACATAGATAAATTCTGTTCAAATGTGAATATCATGTCAGACTTTTTCTCTACCGGGAAAATGAATTAATGACAAGGCACAGAATGAAGCTTTAACATTCATTAACTGAACACTCCCTAACAAGACTGAAATGTGTATGGCTGCCATCTAAACGTACTCTTCTGGCAACCTGGGTGGCAAATGTTTGCCCGGGCCACCCACACTGAATTGGCTTTCCCAGAAACACAAAGCAAAGTAGAATTGGCAAATAAAATGTCATTACGGCCCTCTGTGTTTGCAGCTTTTACAAGGGGCCACAAATAGAATAGAGGTAAATAGAGGAATAGTTCCTGGGGCGGTGTGATAGTGTGTGTGGGATCACAACAGGGTCGTGTCCGGAGAGACTTCTGGGAGACGAGAGGAGGAGGACGTGTCCTCGGCCCTGCAAAGCCGACAAAGACTGCGGCAGTAAGCGCCAGTGTCTGTGTGACGGCCAGTGTGGTCTCAGCTGTGTGGCTCCAGGTAACTATTTGTATGCATGTGTGCCCTCAATTGTCACTGTGAATGCCACAGTGGGCTCAGTCATTAACACTGTGTGTGTGTGTGTGTGTGTGTGTGTGTGTGTGTATACACAGCTGTGCCAACATACATCTGTGTCTGTGTGTGTGTTTGTTTGTGTGTTTTCTGGAAAATAAAATACAAGCCTCGGTCATGTACAAAATCTGGACTGAAGTGTGCCCTATGCCAACGCTGAACACAAGCTTTTTATTATGCCTGCACACTGTAAAGGGGCACTGTGCATGGATCCAGCCCAGTTATACAACCTCTTAGTGCTCTTTTAAAGTGGTTTAGAGCAAACAATTTAATTTCTGTTGTACAAAGAACAACAACAAATGTATTGTTCCCTTCCTCCTGCTCTCTCTCCTCTCTCTCCTCTCTCCTCCCTCTGGATCATCTCTTTTCTCCTCAGGTCGTACTTGTCCCTGGCCTCTGCCCTCAAGCGAAACCTCGGCAGCCCACCTCCTCTCACCCACTCACTCCTTCTCGGCCCTGCTTGAAGTGCGCTGCAAGCCTGGATTCTCGTTGCCCAATGGCTTGGATGCAACTATTCGCCGTTGTCAGGGTGACCGACAGTGGAGCGGGGACGAGCCCGTCTGCACAGGTGGGTTTGAGTTCATCAGAAAGATGAGCCTCACAACATGGAGGTAATGAACATCTGGAGAAATATATTCAATATATTATCTTTTATTTAACAAAAGCAATGCGTGGAGGTCAGCGATGGTCAGAGAATAAACAAAGCTCTTTGTGTTGGTGATGACACGAGACAAAGAGACAGAGAGCGACAGACTGATATTCAGAAATGAAACCCTTCTGTGTCGACTGAGACATTGCACAACTGGGACCTATTCTGTTTGTCACCATAGCAACCAAAGCTTTAGTTGTTCATATCGGCTGTCTGAGGATTTTACTCCTGAGCTGCTGCTAAGTTTATAGAGGCGACGAAAGCTGAATACACATGCATGTGCATGTAGATGGATTTGCATATGTGTTTGACATGTTTGTATGTTTGCATGTCACAAATCTGTTTTCTGCTATGTGTATTTGTTCATCTTTTTGGACACAGTTTGAGGTGTTATTGTGTTGTGCATTATTATGCTAGCTCTTTTGTGTTGTTATCCAAGAGTGAGGGAAAGAAACTATACTTTAAATTCAATGAAATACAATATAAACCAACAAAATACAACAGAATCCCAAATTACAGCCGACACAATATAACCATGGTAAACTGCATCCTCCTGATCTTTTCAATCTCTTAATTAACCCAAAATGTAATATGTATGACATGTTAATTATGAACTCATTTATTCCACCGAGTCAGAGTGGAGCTGTGAACAAATCCAGACAAACTCGTGAGCAGCTGAAGTCAATTCTTCCCAAAAAATACAGGAGCATTCGTTGTGATTTATGTTAATTAACGACCAACCACTGTGCCCTGAGATACTGGAGTGGTGAATTATTTTAATTTCCTTCTCTCTAAATATAGAGCTACAGTGTGCATGTGAATGTGCGAAGAGGCATTATTTGTTCTCCTGCTGTGCAGCCTTATTGCACTCACCACTGTGCCATAATGTTGCACAGCAGCACATGAACTAAAGCCATCAATAATTCTAAGTATAAAGACAAATCTCATCGACGTGCAGCACCTGAGAGTTTGGTGCTGCTGTAAATCAAAATCCTGGTGCATTAATCTCACAACTGGGGCCACGTTAAAGCTGTTTTCCTGCGAGTCCTCAGCCCAACTGGGTCCTGGTCTCACCCGTGAGATTCTTTCTGTATCTATTCAAAGTTGTGAACCAGGGATACGATTCTCAGCTCCCTCGTAGAGTATCCACCTGCTGAGACGGGCAGAAGGTAGGTGGGTTTTGAACGTGTGAGAGTGTTCGTATTGTGTGTCCTCTTGCATATGTGTTAGAGTGTGAGTCGAGCTCCTTCATGCTGGATGAGAGGCAGTGGGCGGCAGATCACTGTCAAAGTGGCACAGAACTGCGTGCACACAGTGTGAGTGTGAGTGTGTGTGTGTGTGTGTGTGTGTGTGTGTGTGTGTGTGTGTGTG